CAGGTGCCCCCAATTTATTGCTTTTCATAGAGTGTAAAGTAGTCTGCAAAGCATGACCTACAGACCACTGAGAACACTGATTGCAGAGCTTTTATCAGGATGAAACAGAGTTCCCATTTCTCTTTGTGTGTAAAGGAATCCTTAGTCACTGCTGATTCTGGAATTCTTTAGTCTGGTGCTTAATTAATTTGTGTGCTGGGCAGATCCTTCATGCCATCACTGTACATGCTTCTTAACAAGGGTGATCAGGTCATTTTCTGCTGTTTTGAGATGCACCCAAACTAGAAAGGCAATTAGGAACGTGTTTCAGTTTTTATTGTTATGAAATAGATGGATAAATAATAGTTCAAATAAAGTATAAAAAATATTCCTTAAGTTTCTGTACCTCCCACATAAAATGTTCTCTTCTACATTTTTTTTAAAAAATGAAAGGCCCTATTCTGTGATAACTGGAGAAGAGTTAAAGACACTTTAAAATAAACAATAGATTTGGCTACAGTGACTATCATTGAAAAAATATTTCTGAGGTAAAATATTTTAAACTGGTATTTATTCAATAGCCAAGAAAATATGTCAACACAGTTATTTTGGGACTCTATTAAAAAAATCTAACAACACTACTAAGTTGTTCTGTCTGTTTATAAAACTTCTTCTTGTAATGTTCATCACAAGTATTATTGGCTTGATTCTGAGGAAATAAAGATAAAGCATTAGAACTGTGTCTGGGGGCACCTGGGTGGCTCAGTCATTAAGCATCTGCCTTCGGCTCAGGTCATGATCCCAGGGTCCTGGGATCGAGCCCCGCATCGGGCTCCTTGCTCTGTGGGAAGCCTTCTTCTCCCTCTCCCACTCCCCTTGCTTGTGTTTCCTCTCTTACTGTGTCTCTCTCTGTCAAAAAATAAATAAAATCTTAAAAAAAACAAAACAAAACTGTGTCTGAACTGGCTTTTTGTTATATGGATATAGATATTTGGGGGGGAGTGGTGGAGGGAAAGTGGGAGGGGGTTGGAGTATGTGTGGATTTACTGTTACTTTACAGGTTTTTTTTTTTTTTTAAGATTTTATTTATTTTTATTTGAGAGAGAGAGAATGAGAGACAGAGAGCACGAGAGGGAAGAGGGCAGAGGGAGAAGCAGACTCCCTGCTGAGCAGGGAGCCCGATGTGGGACTCGATCCCGGGACTCCAGGATCATGACCTGAGCCGAAGGCAGTCGCTTAACCAACTGAGCCACCCAGGCGCCCCTACTTTACAGGTTTTGAGGCTTGTGAGACGAACTCTCCATAAACTGCCTCCTCCCTGGTGTGCTGCACTGTGGGGCCGCTGCCACGGGGGGAGGTTGATGCCTAGGAATGGCTACCTGGTCCACACTGGAAGGCATCTCAGTGATTCTTCAGTTCGAAAAGCGTTTATTCAACTTGATATGCATCAGGCGCTGTGCTACGCACTGGGGATACAAAGACGAATAAGGCACAAAACCAGTAAAGTGATAAAATTATGCCTACAGTTCTACAAAAGGACAAAAACAAAGCTAACCTTGATTTTATGGAAGATGTCCTGAAGGGAACTTTCATGTGAACTCTAGACCTTGAGGGATGACTATGAGTTTGGTTAAAGTAAGGATAGTCTTGCCGATAAGTGATTCCAAGAGAACATAACTTACATAAAGTAATATGTAACTAATACAAGTTATGTTTTCCTGTAAAACTGCAATTATAAATTCAAATAAAAAAGCCCTAAATCCTTATTACTAAAAATAATATTTAATTTAGAATACGTAGGAATATTATTTGGAGCAAGATTTAAAAGAATATAAATATTTTATTATACTTAATTATCTTCTTGTTAATCTCTTATTGTTAACAACCAGTTCTTAGCCTAATTTGGTTTTAAGCCATCTTAAAATTACCCTAAATCTTTTAAGATCAAAATCCAGTGGATCCTCCCTTCCCCACGTCTTTTTGTCTATTTTATTTGTTTGTCTATTTATCTATATCTTATTATCTGTCGGAATTAAAGACTTCAGGGAGCTCGGAATAAAAAAAAAAGACTTCATTCTGTTTAATTTTCTCACCTGCTAGTTGGTTAATGCATAATGCACTATAATTACACAGTTGTTTTTCTCTTTCTGTGCCTGAGACAAAATTGGCTTTCTGCCAACTCGACTTGCACTTTACCCCATGAAGCTGCTTTTGCCAGGGCACTATCTCCTTGTTACTAAATCCAGGGGATACCTCAAACACCTCATAGTGCACAGCTTGAAAAGATTATGTCACTTCTCTGCTTAAAACCATTCCATTTTCTCATTGCTTTTAAGATGAAGCTTAGGCTCTGTAAATGTGGCTTAGGCCACATATGACCCCATTCTTGCCTCCAGCCTTGTCTCTTACTGCATTTCTCCACTCGCTGTCAAGATCCCAAATAATTGATTTTCTTTCAGTTCTTTGAATGAACCATGCTCTCTCTTGCCTCTGGGACCTGCTGTCCCTGTGTGTTTCTTTTTCTTCCCCTGTGCTGGTCAACTCTTACTTAGCCATTAGGCCTGAGTTCAGACCTGTGCTTTCTTTTTAAAGAAACAAAACCCCAATCATGTCCTTAAAAATCCATCCACTTCCTTCAATCTCAGTTTCAGTACCTCTTGTCTAAACAGTCATTCTTGTATGTCAGGACTACTCTGAAACCCCCCCCACGTGCTGTTTCTTACTCTTGCCTCTCTGCATAATCCATTCCCCTCACAGTCACAAGTATGAGATCTTAAAAATATAAATCAGATTGTGTTGCTTTTATTTAAACCCTTCAGTGGCTTAGCATATAATTCAGCTCAGGTGATCAGGCATTTGACCACTTCGCAATTGCAAATCCCACTCTCATTCTTGTCTACCACACTCAGTTATAAAGTGGGCATCCAGGTGATCCAGAATGTGCTTATATAATTTTTTAGGAATGTCACTAAAATAAAAATGCAAAAATTCTTATAGACAGTGTTCCAACTTTTGAGGCACCTTTCATCTTTTAAGAAACACTAATTCAAGGGGTGCCTGGGTGGCTCAGTCAGTTAAGCATCTGACTCTTGGTTTCAGCTCAGGTCGTGGTCTCAGAGTCGTGGGATCAAGCCCTGCTTTAGGCTCTTCGCTTGGCATGAAGTCTGCTGGAGATTATCTCCCTCTCTCTCTCCCTCTGCTGCTTCCCCTGCTCTCTCTCTCTCTCTCTAAAATAAATATATAAAAATCTTAAAAAAAAAAAAAAAAGAAACACTAATTCAAGCGTTTCCGTGGAAATTCTTTTCTGCCATCTTTGTGTGCCCGCCCCCCTCCCCCCCTCCGGTGTGATGAACCTCTTTTCTGTGCTGCTTTCCTTAGGACTTATCATTTGTTGGGTAACTGTCTTTAAGCTCCTTGAGGAGTTCTAGATGATAGTAATGAAGAACCTGGCTATGAATTTAATTACATTTTAAAATATATTTTAAACATTAAAGACAGTAGTAATCATATGTATTTGGAACATGGAGGGATCTTTATGTGAAACACATTATAGTGTTCAAAGTTTGGTGTTTATATGAACTTACTGGGATCCTTGGAATAACTCTGTGTTTCCCAGAAATGTGAAACTACTGCACTGGAGAATTAGCTTAGCTATGGATGTTCTGTACAGACCAGTCACCCAAGGGTATGCAGTTTGTGGTAGTTAACACCTTCCAGAAGCTGCAGTAAAGTGGTAATCATCTGATGGTTGTAATAAATGTTCTGTTAGATATGTCACAGCTGTGGGATGCCCTTTTCCTAGCCTTTAGTGATGACAGCAATTTTAGTGGCTCTTTTAAAAAACTGGGATGCACTCAAAAGCCACTCAGGAGGGTCTTAGGTTTGATTTTGCAACCCAGATCTGTCAATGGGTTGTTACCTACTCTGAGGGAGATTAGATTCAACATGGACTTTAGAAAGTATTCTCATTTCAGGTAGATTGTAACTTTTAAGATTGGCCCTTTTTCCTGAGCATCCCCATTCATCTACCACTTTAAATCCTATTTTTTTTTCCTTCAAGATTCAGCTCATCCATGCAACATCTGATTAGCTATACCACAAACTCTCATATTTCTTTACATTCCACTTTCTGTCATTCTCTAATGGCTTCAGTATCAGTCAGTCATACTATAGGCTGTACTCTTTCAGTATTAATCACTCATACTATAGGGCTTCTAGAGGACAGAAATTTTTTCCCAAAGAACCTGGTATAAGACTGGACAATCAGTAGTCACTTACTAAATACATACCTACTTAGGTTATTAGGCACTCACTGAACTTTATTTTCCTTCCTTCCCTTTCTAATCAATTAGCTAATAAATCTAAATTTGAGCATCTAAAATAAATGTATGCTGTAGTGCTATACTGAAGGAAAGTCAGGGGACCTCTGTGAGGCTGAGATGCACCAATTGGCATTGGCTCTGGATAGCAGAGAGCTTGAATGTCTGACCCATTTTGCAATAGCAAAACACAGCAGAAAGCTATTGGATGTCTGGTTGCCCTTGTAGCTTGCACTCTTGCTGAGTCACTGTTTCAGAACTCTGTTAGATTGACTGGGTTCTATTTCCAAGACTTCCTTATATCTGCAATTTGAAAAAACTATTTTTCGTTAGAAAGTGATCATTTAGAAACGAGCAATCAGTGATGATGCAAATTAGATTTTACCCTTTGTACTGAGTGTACTAAATAGATTAGTAATTTGTAGGTATGAAAACTCCAAAGGACAAAGTGTGGGTAAAGGAGAAATTTTCGTCATTTTACTGTTATCTTCAAAAGAAGTACATATTTGTTGTTGATGTTTTGATTTTAGTTATTCTGGAACTAAATAAGATGGCACTTTAATTTTATGTTCATCTCCCACATCTCACCCTCCTCCTATCAATCAGTCAGCAAACAGATATTTATTAGGTGTAAATATAAACATGTAAGAGAAAATGTAATTCAATTCAACAAATATTTACGGAGAATTTATTTTGTGTCAGGCTCCCTGCCAGTGGAAGACATACAGCATTACTAAGAAGCGACTGTCTCCTGGAATTTACAATCTGCCTAAAAACAAGCAGTAAACAATTACAAAGGTGATCCAGATTAAAGGTATATAAAAATTAAACTGAATTGATTGATACAAAAGAAATATTTGACATAGCCCCTTCTTTTATTTATTTATTTAAAGATTTTATTTATTTATATGACAGAGAGAGACACAACGAGAGAGGGAACACAAGCAGAGGGAGTGGGGGAGGGAGAAGCAGGCTTCCCATGGAGCAGGGAGCCCGATGCGGGGCTCGATCCCAGGACCCTGGGATCATGACCTGAACCGAAGGCAGACGCTCAGAGACTGAGCCACCCAGGCGCCCCTAGCCCCTTCTTTTAAAGAGCTTATAATTTAAGTGTCAAAAGAGATATATACAACTTACTAGAATGACAAGCAGAATAGATATTGTAGAAGTAATAGTACTTCGGGGCAAAAGCTAGAAAATGATAAATCAGGACCTGGAGAATTATGAAAGACTCCACGAATAAGAACGCACCCTGGAAAGGTAGACATTTTGACAGTCACATAAAGGAAGGTAAGGCATTCTGGATGTTGGTGCTATTAATTAGTCATACCCTTCATCCAATCCTATTGATGGTGGAGATTAAAATATATCATCAGCTATATTGCTGACCAAGCTGGATTGAGGAATGTGGCTTGGACCCAGGGCCAAAATGGGGGCTACCTCATTTCTCCCTTCTCCTTGGTGGCAAGTGTCTACTTTGTTGGAGGCATAACAGCTAGAAAACTGCATGCTGCCTTTGAGAGGAGGATGTCCTCTGCTGATGGGCAAGCCACTCTGTCCGAGAGAAGGGGCTAGTCAGAAGCTGGCTCATGCCTGAGCACTGACCTTCTCCTCAATCAGATTGTTCATCTCTTGGCTGGATGAAATATAAATAAAGAAAACGGGCAATTGGAATGATAAATAGCATGATACAAACCGAAAATTCTACAGAGATCAAAGACCGGCGGAGAGGAGGGATGTCAGCTGGTCCTAGTGTGGTCAGGGAAGGCTGATTGCCTGGAGAGGGTAGAGCTTGAACTATATCTGTGATTCAGATGCAAAGAAGAGTCACACTAGCTTTTTCTTTTCTGAATAGCATGTAAGTACACCAATAGAAAACAAACTGAATTACATGTTTTTTGCTAAAAACCATGGGGCAACTCAGGCAGTTTCTTGGAACAGTGCATTATTTAGCAAAGAAAGATCGACTTGGGGAGCGCCAAAGCAATTCCACATAGGAGGGTACCCAGGTAGCATAAAAAGCAACAAGGAAATGCCAAATGAACATCTTCAGTGCTCCCTCCACTCCCCGGTTAGAGTTGACCAAGTATCTGCTTTATTTCCTGACCCTTTCACCTCCACCTGTATTTTTTGGTAGAGGAAAATAGGTATCTTATTTTAAATAGTATTTCATGGGGATGCCTGAGTGTCTCAGTTAGTTAAGTGTCCAACTCTTGGTTTCGGCTCAGGTCATGAGATCGAGCCCCCCATTGGGCTATGCACTGGGCATGGAGCCTGCTTGAGATTTTCTCTCTCCTTCTGCCCCTCCTGTCCTCTCTCCCCACTACTCACATGCTCTCTCTCTTAAAATAAAAGAATATAGTATTTCACGGATAGATGCCAACACCATGAAGACAGCCTTCCCATCCTCTGTTAAAAGGTATTATTGAGTGGGTTGGGAATGAAGAAATATAAAATTACAGGTTGAAGGGACAGTGAATAGTTGAATGCTCAAGATGCTTTCAAACGTTTTTATTGATGTAGAATTGATATACAGTATCTAAAGTATGCAATTTGATGAGATTTTACATATGAATACACCTGAAATTTCCCTCTACACACTGCCTTAACATCTCTCAAATGTTGATATGTCATGTTTTCATTTTTATTCAGTTCAAAACATTTTCTGACTTCCTGGTTGATTTCTTCTTTGTCTCAGAGATTATTTAGAAATGTATTTTTTAGTTTTCAGTTATTTGGATATTCCGGATATCTTCCTCCTAATAATATCTAATTAATTTTACTGTGGTTAGAGAACATGCTTTCTATGATTTCAATGCTTTGAAATTTATTTGGCCTGGTTTTTGTGGTCACTTAAGAAGAATGTATTTTTCTATCATTGGGTCAATAGACCCAACGAAGCCCGGTAAACTAGGCTAGTTTGTTGATAATGTTGTGCATGTTTTCTGTTGTCTTATTAATTTTCTGTCTACTTGTTCTATTAATTACTGGAAGAGGTATTGAAATCTCTGATTCTAATTATAAATTTATCTGTTTCTCCTTTCACTTTTATTAGTTTTTGCGTCTTGTATTTTGAAGCTCTGTTATTAGGTACATAATTATATTATGAAATGACCCTCTTTATCTTTGGTAATAGTTATTGCTCTGAATTCTACTTTGTCTAATATTAATATAGCCATTCCAGCTTTTTTTTTTAAAGTGTATTGTGGTATATCTTTCCCCATTTTTTTTACTTTTAGCCCATCTTTGTCTTTGTATTTGAAATGAATTATTATTTTTTGTATAACCCAACAAGCTCTCCTTTTTTATTTGGAATTAATTTGATTATTGATATGGTTAGGTTTAAAGCTATCATCTATTCGTTTTTTATTTGTCACATTTTTCTTTGTCCTCCTTTTCTTTTTTTCCTGCCTTTTTGGGGCAGGATTGAGTTTTTTTTGGGGGGTGGGACAGGACTGAGTATTTTTTATGATTCCAGTTATTTCCAATATTGGCACGTTATATTATTTGTGGTTGTCTAGAATTTACAGTGTGCATCTTTAACTTATTATACTTCATATCCAAATAATATTATACCACTTATGTTATATGAATCTTACATTAGTATATTTCCATTTTTCCTTACTAACCTTTGTATATTGTTGTATATTTTACTTCTACATGATTTTAGGTTATAAACCCTATAATTTACTATTATTGTTACTTTAAATAATTTTCTTTTAAAGACATTTTAAATTTTAACAAGTATTTCATATTTAGGCCCATGTTTACCGTTTTTGGTCATCTTCATGCTTTGTATAGATCCAGATTTCTTCTACCTAAAGACTTCCTTTAGAGTTTTTTGTGTTTTATTGCTGGTGATGAATTTCATTTCACCTTTGTTTTTGAAAGCAATTTTCACTGCATAGAAAATTCTAGGTTAGCGGGGTTTTTTTTTTCTTTCAGATTTTACAAATATACTGCTGTTTTCTGGCCTTAATTGAAATCTGTCATTCTTATCTTTATTCTTCTGCATATACTGTATCTTTTCTCTCTGGCTATTTAAAGATTTTCTTCTTTTCCACTTGTTTTCAGTAATTTGATTTTGTTATACCGTGGTATGGTTTTCTTTATATTTCTCATGCCTGAGGATTTGTTTAGCAAAATTGGGAAAATTTTCAGCTATTATTTCTCTCTCTCTTTTTTTTTTTTTTGCCATTATTTCTTCAAATTATTTTTCTTTCTTCTCACCTTTATCTTCTCCCTCTGAGACTCCAGTTATACTTACGTTAGGCCACTTGATGTAGTCCCACAGCTTTGTCAGTTCATTTCCTTCATTTCAGTAATTTTGCAGTCTTTCATTTTGGAGACTTTTTATTGCTCTGCCTTCACATTTATTCATTTTTTGTTCTATACTCTCTTATCTGCTGTCAATCCCACCCAGAGTATTTTTTATCTTTAGAGATTTGATTTGGTCTTTATATCTTTTCTTGCTTTATCATGCTCATACTTTCTTTTACCTTCTGGAACATATGGAGCATATTTTCTATATGCTCAGGTTCAAATAGATTCTCAGGGTGTTAGCTGTTTTTAACACTTTTGTCTACCAAGTCTTTCATCCATGTCATTTCTGGGTCTATTTCTATTGATTGATTTTTCTTCTTATTATTGGTCATGTTTTTTGCTTATTTACATATCTGGAAATTTTTATTGGATGCTGGACATTGTGAGTTTTATGTTATTGGGTCCTGGATTTTTCTTGTTTTAATTCCTTGAAACAGTTTTGGATTTTGTACTCAGATGTAGTACCTGGAGAACAGTTTGATCTTATGGGAAAGTTGATGTGTTAAAATTTTTCTCTTGACCTTTGTTAAGTGAACTGATTTACAGCCTTTAGTCTAGTGCTCCATTGTTTCCAGTACTCAGGCAATACCCTTGTGAGGATTGTACTCCTTGCCCTTATGTTAGAAAGTCTTTCCATTCTGGCTGGTGGGAACACGAACTAATCATGGTCTTGTATGAACTCCACTTCTTGTGCCCTCTAATCCATGCTTTAGGTAGTTTTTTCACATGCATGTGCCAATCAGTACTCAGCTAAAGACTGAAGGATAATTCTCTGTAGATATACAGACCTCCCTCTTTGTGTAGCCCTCTCCTTATTTTTTTTTTAAGATTTTATTTATTTGACAGAGAGAGACACAGCGAGAGAGGGAACACAAGTGGGGAGAGTGGAAGAGGGAGAAGTAGGCTTCCCGCGGAGCAGGGAGCCCGATGTGGGGCTCGATCCCAGGATTCTGGGACCATGACCTGAGCTGAAGACAGATGCTTAATGACTGATCCACCCATGTGCCCCAAGCCCTCTCCTTATTACTACCCTGTCCCTGAATTCCAGCTGCCTTGGTTTCCCTAACTTTCAACTCGGTCACCAACTCAGATCACTGGGCTGCACCTGGCCTCCTTCTACCTGCACTGTTGGCTATAAATTCTGCAGTCAGTAAACTGGGCTTGCCTCTTATTTCCCTTCTCTTAGGGTCCCCTGTCCTGCACTGTTATCTAGTGTATGAAAAGCATTGCTTCATATATTTTATCCAAAACTTTTTTAGTTGTCTTAAGCTGAGAAGGAAAATCTGGTCCCACATGGCCACAATTCAGGTAACATTTTAAAGAATGAAAAAATGGAAACAGCTGTATTTAAAGAGTTTGTTATTTCAGATATTATTCTTTTTGATTTAATGGTGAGGGTAACCAATTGGATAGGCTGCTTTCTCCACTGAACTTCAATGGAAAACTTTTGCATTAAGCCCACTTTAGCTGATTAAGACTTTCCTTTGAATA